CTTTCCCTAAAAATTTATCTTCTGTTTTGCCTAGCTAAAGTTTTTGAATGCAATACTACCAGGACACAATACCAGGAATGCAATTCCTGCTTGCTTCTTCTTCATCACATTCCCTTCTCTTCCCTCGATTTTTTCCACCCTTTCATTTAATTCTGAAGTAGTAATAGCTCATAGAAGCATAGAATCATTTAGGTTGGAAAAGATCACTAAGATCATTAAGTCAAATTGTTCTCACCTCATGAAATCTTTTTAAATTTTCTCATACATCATTCTGAAATTGTTTCATCTTACTGCCTCTAAATATGTTTTCACCATCCTACATCCATCCATCCATCCATCCATCCATCCATCCATCCATCCATCCTCTTCTCTCTCTTGGCTTTGGTCCTTTTTCTATGAAGAGGTTCTTAAGGAAAAGAGTTTTTGCAACTGATAAGTTTGAAACTGCTAGCCAACTTCAACAGAACTAGTCCAAGGTACAGGAACTGGAGCTAAGCTGGGAAAACTGAGGAAGTGCAAGGGAATAGCAGTGGTTCTAGTACAGGAATTTAGGCTATGTTTTTCAAGTGTTAAGCTATGGGTGTGAATTTAATGAAAATCAGGCTTCAGGTGCTCACAAAATACTGTTTTCTTTAAAGCTGCTACTTCTATCTGAAATTATCCTCTTTCCTTTGCATCAAACATTTTCTGTATTAAACCTCAGCATAAAACAAATTTTGTTTGCTTCTCTGATCACAGTCTTCTATACTTATTGTCTCATTTTGCCTCCAGCGCTATTTAAAATGTCAGGATCCATAACACTCACTAACTTCAGAATCTAGCAGACATGATTTTACATTTGATCCAAGTGTCCTCTCTTTGCTTTCCTTTATCTGTTAGCATCACGCTCCAAGTTTGACTGTTGTAGATTAACCTTTCCTAGGCTAAAAAAATTTACAATATCACTGTGACTGAGTAGCCACTTAAATAAAACTCACAAAATTCACACAATAGAAATTAGCATTTCACTGGCAGTATTTGTAGCAGATGGTTTGCAGAAGTAAGTAGCCCAGGAAGGAAACAGGAACAGCAGATCGCCTGAGTAGACCAGCAGCTAAGCATTACAGCCCCTCCCTCACAGAAAGCCCTCTGTCAAGTCAGTGCCACATGGAGTAACATTAGCAGGTCATCACCTATGATTTCCTGAACTTCATTCTGATTCATAGCTGGTTTTGCTGCTTTATCCTTCGAAGAGGAGGACTTTGCACCCGTCAGGCTGTGTGTAGCCATGTATTCATGTGTATAAAGTGCTTGCATCAAGTCGTTTATAAACTTCTGAGGTTTGCTCTTGTTACAAAGTGCAATCTGCCACTTTTCGATCTTGAACTGGAAGACAAAATTGATCATAGGCATAACTATCACCGTTCTCTAGAAATATTATATAGCATTACTTTTGAAATTTCTTTTTGATTTTCTTTTTTATAAACCAATTTCAAAAGTCATCTCTGCAAAATGCATGCTTGAGAACAATGCTAAACGTGCATACCACTCAGTCTTTGGAACCACACACACAGGTCGATTTTTTTTCAGAAGCAAGTGTGGGCCAGACTAAGGACCCCATTCATCCCAGCAAACACTTCACCAAGTGATCCTTATGACTCACTAGTGGAGACAGGACATGTTCAGACACATCTAAATCCTTCTGCTTGAGCTCCATGCAGGCTGGCAGTGGGTTACTGATGGCATGGATTCTGGGCAGCCTTCAGAGTATGGCACTATGCCCAAGCTAATATTCCTGCCTCCAAGCAGACATGCCCTAAGAACTGTGACATCTGGTCCCAGGCTTTGAGAGCAACTTCCACACACAGCAGTTGTAGAGCCTCAGTATTTGAACACCTCTAATGGGCAATTTTGAGCTGCTTCTATTAAGTCTAAGTTGCTTAGAAAATCAGGTCTTTTTATTTCTCTGAAGATGTTAGGTCAAATTTTGTGTATTGCAATATTCAGCCAAAACATCGTACCTTGGTAATTCTTTATAGAATTCTCTGGTTTTTAGGCCCCCATGACAACACACGAGAATGATTTCCACTGACTGGCATGACTCAGTGCATAAGAATGTTTACAGAAGTTGTGAATGCAGAAGCTAGAATTATTCTTTTGGTTGCATCTTTATATTTTTCATGTACAGCCTCTGTGCCTCAGATTTCTCAGTTATGCTCTGTTATAATTACAGAGAACAGAGGAACATCTTTATTTAGTATCTCTTTATATAGGTATTTCCAGTGTCTGGAACAAGAGCAGAAACACACCATTCTCCATTTACTTATTAACAGCTTAAACAGACTGATGTTTTTTTCCTTAGACAGTTTCTGAAACACTACCATTCCCCTTTGGCACTCAAAACATTAGGCTGGAAGCTATCTCCCTAGGTATCAGTATTTTCTTCATGCATCCACACTATGCCCTTAGTCACAGATGTGCAAAGCCAACAAAATCAAAGCAAGCTTGAGTGTGTACCCACACACTGAGTTAAGGCCAGGGTTTCTCATGGAAAGAGCCTTCTGCACAAAGGAGCTTGTTAGTCATGGCATCAACTGATTGATGATAAAATTGTTTTTACTGATGCTTATGTTTTATATTTGTTATACTGTAACAGTAAAATTTGTACTGCATAAAGATTTTCTTTTTATGCCTGAAATTGGCTTTTAACTGACCTGCTTTTCATTCTGTTGCTCCTCATCTTCCACATTCAAAGTTACTGGTGAGCTGGAATTACTATGCATAGCTGCATATGAATCTGCTAACGGGTTGCCAGATGCCTTCCAAACAGCATGTGAATGCAGACTGGACGTAGATGATGTCACTCCCCCTTTGAGCAGTGCTTCAGCCATCCCTACCAGTTCCTCAAAATGGGTGACTGCCTGTGGCAACACTGAAATCAAATGCAAAGTGAGGAGTGAACCAGTAATTTAAGCTTTCAGACTCTAATTACATAGGCATGTATATTTTTGCAATTAGATTCCTGTCATAATGCAAAAGAGTCAAAGTAATCAGCAAAGATGCTGTAATAGACTTTTTTCTTATTCTCTCAAATGTTTTCCTGCCATCCTGCTATTCCCACCCATGAAGATCTGGCCTCTGTTCATAGAATAGGATAGATCAGTTCTCTGCAAGGCTAAGAGAAACCATTAGTTTATGCCCATCATGGCATTAAGCAGGCTACTTCTCTTTTTTCTTTTTGCTATCTTAAAATCTCTGCACGTCTGTAAAGCTACTGAATATGGGCTAAGTAGTGTTATGTCTGATTTTTTTTTTCTTCAAATAAGTGGCAGAAAAAGACTGCATAGACTTTTTTCCTCTTTTTTTTTTATCTACAGAGAATATATTTAAAATAACCTTTTCTCCAAGCAATATTCATTTTCAAATATAAGCTTTCATTAAGTCCATTAAGAAGAATATATTCAGAGCAAAAAGGATGCAAGAGATGAAGAATGAGGAAGATACAGAATCACCAGATTACAGAAAATACTGTAAAAGACTAACACAAGTGCTTAAGTTGCAAGGAAAATGATCCTAAATGGTTAAGAAAACTTGTCAGACGGTAACAAAATATTTAAAAATACTGTTCAGAAAGGCAGAGATGAATGATTCAAACCAAGATGAATAACATATGGGATGGAATCAGGTGAGCAATTAAACAGATGAGCACTTGTAAACTCATATGACAATAAAATAGAAAATAGATATTAGGCTCTCCTGGTCTGGTATGATGTAGCTGGCAAAGGGAAGGAGCACATCTTTAAACCTTCTTCATTCACTCATGTTTTGATATTTTGCATTCGGTCTTGTTTGCCTCAGAGTAATGGACAGGGACAAGTAAGAGTGGCTTCAGAGATGATCACTAAGTGATGAAGGATTCACTTACAGAAGCAGAAAATGGTTCGCTTCTGGGAAAGGACTAAATTTACTGCACTTGGAGCTAACACAGATTATCAGTCATGAGGAACTACCAAAGTAATTAGGAATGAAATAATTCCAGAATAAATAAAAATTCAGTACATCAAGAGAGACTGCTAATAAATAAGGTTAGCTGGGCTGGTCAGTGGAGTGTTTGAGCTTAGCCGATGGTTACACATGGCACACAGTAAGGGCCTCTTGGGAGCAACTGACAGGATTTAGACAGATGTTTTCCATTTCCAACTCCATGATTGTGTGGCCTCCATGTAAGACAGTTTTTTCTAAGTGCTGCTGGAATTAAATGTTGCCGTGTATCAAAGACTTTGATGCTAATAGTAGGCCTTGATCATGTCAAGTGCTTGAGCATCCATAATTCCCATCCAAATGGCCTCTTATAAATCAAGCTTTTCATGACCTTCAGGCTTTCCTCTTCATCAAAACAATTCCCCTGACTTTACCTTGAAGCATCACCAGGGACTGCCTTAAGCGGCAATTTTCTCTCATGGTGTCTGTCAGCTTCCTCTTGAGACTTTTTATTTTGGCACACAGTTCTACCTTGGATAGTTGAAATAAAGGCTCTTCATCATCACTGCTACTTTCACTGTACAGAAAGTTGCTTCCTGAATATGGTTCTCTCTGAAAAAAAATAAACCCGTGCTATCTAGAGCAATAATATAAAATTAAAGCACTAAAACTAACATTCAATATCTGTTTTAATCAGCATATTCTCTTTGCACACAGAATGTATAAACAGACTTAGTGCATTTTAATAATGCCTGTTACTGAACATAGCTGCTACCATTCCTATTAAAATTAAAATGTCAGTGTAATATGTAACCATTAAGTACTTCTCTCCCTGTTCTCCACTCACCAGTTTTCTAAGACAGAATCTTTTCAAACCATTAACTTCACTAAACCAAAAATGTTAAGCCTCCCTCAGCAAATATACATATGAGTTTGCATTTTCCTAATGTATTAAAATTGCTCAAGATGAGATATTTACCTGTTTGTTAATTAAAGATGTTTCAAGCTGACTCAGGATGTTGTCAGGAGCAGATGCCTGCAATGATTTCTTTCTTTTTATGTGCTTCATCATCTTCCCCTGTAAACAAGAGCATAGTAGTACCTTGGCATTCCCATAGAGCCTTTCATTACCATATCTCACGGTATACCAGAAACTTATTCATGGTGCACTTGACATTCCTGGTTAGTATTTTTGAAATATATGTTTCCCTATGTTTTGTCACTGCAGATCTCAGCACAATTAAGAGCTTGGAAAAGCTGATTCATTCCCTCTCTTACGCAGTGGTCAGATTTCTGTCTTAGGGGAGACAATGTAATGGAGCTACAGAGCATCCAAGTCGTGAGTAACACTTTTCTCTTTAAATAGCAATGGATAAAATCTGTTGGCCTAACTAAGTACTCTGATAGGTTATTATGCTGAGGTACCATGTGAAGACTGCCTGTATTCCTACCTTTGCTATACATATGTTGTGTATTATATTGTGAGGAACCAATAGTCACAGTCTATTTCATTCCATTATGAGCCCATAAATACAGAAACTCACCTGTTCTTTATCCAGGTCACTGTCCTCACTTTCTGAGAATATCATTTCTATCCTCTTCCTCTTCTCTTTTCCAAGCACTTGTATTTTTGTTATTTCATCTGCTTGTAATATCCTTTGCATCATTTCCACCAGCTCCTGGGGGTCATCTGAAGTGACGGGAAAAAAGCATAGAAAATCAGGTATACCAATACCTTACAACCAGATTAAAATTTCACCAGACAAATGCTCTGGAACTCCACTCACCACTCATGTACACAACTTTGACCAGGTGCTTTTCTGTCTTTCTTTCTCCCACAGGCCAGTTCACTAGCACGTGCTCATTTGGTTTCAGAAGCCTTTCTAGTTCGTTGTCATCACTGGGGAGGTCCTGTATCCACGAAGTCTCTCCGATTTGCAGTGAATTATCATTTACAAAATCAAACAGTGTGAATTTTTTCATTGTTAAGTGGTTTTCTTGTCACACAGACACTGCCTGCAGAATGTCATAGGAACAATAGCTGTTAACATGTCATGCCACAGCAATGTTACAAAAATACTTTAAAAAGCCCTAAACAACCCTCCTATTCCTGGATATTGGTAATTCCCTTGCATGAAAATATCCTAGATAAGGAAGTGAAAACTAGCCAAGCAGCATGCTACAGCTCCACTGAAAGATGGGAGATGTTCTGCTCAATACCTGTACATCAGACAGTTGCCTCCAAAACTATGCACAGAAAACTTGTGGAGCCCTTGCTTCCATATTACCACCATATTTAATCTAACTCCTGGCTCTGTTACTACCACACATGCTCCAACAAAAGTTTTCAGAAAAGTTTACCTCTGCCAAAAAGATACAGGTGTGATAAAAACTTTCCCTAGAATAAAGAAAAAGTGCTAGCTATACATGCTATTAAAGAGTGATGTGTGACTTCCAGGGCTGTATTAATCAGCTCATGGGCAGCAAGATGTACAACTGCAGTCACAGAAAAACAACCCAGAACAACTGACTGGGTGAGACATGACACATTCTGGCAGAGGAAAACTTGACATGCAAAAGAAATGACTGGAAGAGAGCTGGGCTGCTTCATGAAGAGTAACTGCAACAAGAAGAACCCAACCCCAAATAAACAGCTAAATCCTTTATTTACATAAAACAATATTTTAAAGCAAAGGAACATTTCTGGGCTTTTTGAAGTTCTACACTGAGAACAAGTCAAACTTTGTGCTTTGTTTCTCTAATTAAGCTGATACACCTGACAGGAAAGTGTGAAGTGTAACATACGTTGCTAAACTCTACTGGAAATGTAACCAGTTCATTTAAATGTTTCCATTATACTCAGAGAAGATATTATCTACTTTAAAATTATTAAATCAGATAAACCAAATAAATAGAAGATTTGATTTTGTGAAACCTTGATCTTCGTTCCAACAACCATACGGTTTAGCCTGTCAGTTCATAGAGGTGAAGTACTTCTACAGAGCTGGAAACTCATGAATCCCCAGATGTGACAGCGTAATTTGTGATTTACTTGGCCTCAATCAGTCAGAACCAAATCTAGTGCCTCATGCAGAGGCTGTCAAAAAGGTAACTCGGAGCTAGGAAAGGAGAATTATACGAGGCTGTTATGTCAAAATGAGAAATTCTGGCTGCAGTGCTCTAAGAAGCAATGTCAGTTTGTTTGCAGAAGCCCAGCTCACCACTATTCACCATGTCTGTGCTCCACCTCAACAGAGCTGGCTTTTCACACAAGGGTGAACTGGTTAATTGGTGAAAGACAGCTCCACTCTTGTCAGTATGTTCACTGATACAATGGGGCAAGCAGCGCAAGAAATCACCATTAATTAAAAAGAGTATTAAATCATGCTTTTATGAGATCTGAGTGTGATAGCAGTAGGATTGTTAAGTACTGCCCTGCTGAAGAAAGGAGACCATGTTTGCGAGAATTCATAGGAATTTTCTTTAAAGAGTTAGAAAGAGAGGAAACATCCATCCCATCTAAATTCTGGAAAGGACGCACCCTGAATAACTACGCCTGGCATGAATCACCAGAGGCCTCATTCTGCCACCAATCCATGCCAAGTGGATCCTCATGCCACAGACAGGGATCAGTCAAATTAATAACCCTAGGGACAAAGCAGAACCCAAAGGAAGAAAAGTTTCAGCACTGACCTTCACTGGGATAGGTGAGGTCCAAAATGAAATGGCATGCTTGTCTGAACAACAATATACCAGACTTGAAACTGCTGGTGTAGGCAATCACATTGGGCACACATATTCCTCCTCCTTTTTCAAAATGCTTTTGAGTATATAGCCCAGTCAATGTAACATTTCTCATCTAGCACAAAGATGTTAACTTCTGCTTCTGATCAACCCAGCACAGCAATCCCCATCACCCAGTTCTTTGCTTCTCAAATGAAGTACTTGGAGCTTTCTCCTCCTCGGCCCTTGACAGTTGGAAGCTACTTCATTACCCTCCTAAAAGCCCACGAAAGATCAAAAGAAAAGCATCAAAGTTAGGGCTGCCAGTGTGCTAAGATTAACAGCTGATTGACAGGCTTCTTTTTTTTTTTTTAATCTCCCTGTAGTCCTCTAATAGTCTGTATGTCGCCTTTCATTTTGTATGGAGGCAAATATTCTCTGAGCCATGGGACATTCTTGTGGTCTGTGCTTGTACAGGGTTAGCAAGCCAGCCTGGAATTTCCAAGGATGCATTGAATGCACAGGCTGTTCACAGCTTGGAGGGTAAATGATGACTCCCCACAGCACTGGGGCTATTCACGTACACGCTGTGCTAACACTCTGCACATCAGTAACAAGTCCAACAGCTTTTGGAAGGTATCAAACTTGTATATGTGCTATACAGCTTGAGTCAATGGACATGTGGATTTCTGGATGTCCAGAGCCCACAACAGCAGCCTGGTGCCACCGCTAAACGCTGTGAAGGCCATGGCCAGCAAAATCTTTACACCAGACAGGCACTTGAATCCATGAAAGTGTATCCTGCCACTCAAAGCTAGGGACAATTCCATAAAGCACTTTAGAGCTATGAAGATTCTTGCCTGTGGTGAGAGGGTGTACTGCTAAGCAGCGGAATTGATTTCACCAAGAGTCTTAACAGCTGCCCAGTTAAAAAATAAGCTACACAGGATGCTGAGAGAAATAAGGAATGGATTTCACAAATAGTCATTGGGGAAGGATTGAGTCAATCTGCTCCTTCAGCTCCTGGCAAAGTCCAAAAGACTCCTAGAAGCTTTCCAAGGCTTGTGCTCAATCTTGTTGCTCCTGCAGCTTTTGAAGGGGCCAAGGCAGGAACACAGTTGTGGGGCAGCAACAGGGACTGGCCAGGTCCCCTCTTCTCTGCCACAGCTCTGCTGGGCAACAGTTCAACTGCTTCCATTACTGATAAAATAATGAAGTTATTGCATTGCCAAATAAAAAGAGGAGAGCACTATAGTTGATGGTTAGTATTTTGCTGTTATGGCACTATGGCTTCAGCTCCTGCAGGAGACATTAATCCAACTATGTCTTTTCACAAAATTTATTGTGACAATCCATGGGCCCTGGGGATAATACCTAACTGTCTGCTGGCATCATCTCTAGCCAGTGATTAAAGGGAATGGAGAGGCTAGAACAAAATGTCTCTAACGAGGAAAAAGAACAGCAAAATACTCTGCTTACTGGAAGAGAAGTCCTGCAGTGTTTTCTCACCCTGTTCTCCCACTGGAGACAATGTGAACCTCGTCTGAGTCAGGACTGCTGCAGATGCCTCTCTAGAAATGTTTTATTTGCCAAAACAGATCAAAGGCAAAATATACTGCATCATCAGGGAAAAAAAAAAAAAAAAAAAAGAACCAACCTGGGGAGTGGGATTAATTGTACCAAACTCTTACTGCCTTAAAAGTGAGAGGTTGTCTAGCCATGTTTGGCTCAGTCACCACAGAAAGAGGTGATTCATCTCACCCTAAGAGATGTATCTAAAAGATGGCGGATGACTTACTGTCTGGGAGAGTCTGTTCCTCTCCACCAACTATTCAGTGACTGTACAGGAATAGGCAGGTTTCCTTAGAGAAGCTGGCTTGGTCCAACCCATCCTGTATTAGCTTTTTCTATTTTTTTAATAGATTTTGAATAGTAGGATAGATTCCAGTAGACCTTCTGCTATAGGGAGCCAAAAAGGTGGAGTATGGGATATCTGGTTCTTTGTTTTAAAACTTTCTAACACAGTTCTGCAAGTTGTCAAATAAAATTTCTGACAGCGAGTGCTCTGTTCAGTGGTGTAACTGGAAGATATATAATTGTTCACAGACATTACCCTGTGTGCAGCTACTAACCACAGAGACAGACTTATATAACATTTGAAAGCCACTTATGTTTTGCAAGTTGCTTAATTCTATTGTATCTCCATTTGAAAACACTAGCTAGTTACTTGAGAAGTATAGAAAAGCAAATTTATGATTTTTCACTGTTCTAAGACACAAATCTATCTTTACTTCCTCTAAAAGCAGGTAATTTGTAAAAGGAGGAAAAAAAAAAGGAAGCAGCCACTGACTTTTAGAGCTCTGCAGAGGAAACATTAATTGGACCCTTAATTTTTACAAACATGTTAACACCTCACATTCTGCACAGATGCTACAAATTTGCACACAAGATATTGCTTCTAAGCAACCCAAAAAGCCAGAACCAGCCCCCACCCCCAACACAAAAGCAATTTAAAGACATATCTCACCCTTTTACTGACATAATCTGTTCCATTCAGCCGAAAAGTTGGCAGATGGCATGCTGAGATCACTATTCCTCTCTCCTTTCAGTAAATGCAGTGTGAAGTATTACAAATTTACAACATGAGATTGTAGGCCCACTCAATGGGCTTGTCTCTACTGGCCTAAACCAGGGCTTTGCTGACGATTTCATCAAAACAAGAAACTGTAGCACAACTGTGCAACACAGATCCATAATAAAAGATTAACATATTATCTATCCTCTACATTTTCCTTGGGAAAAACAAAACAAAACAACAAACTTTAATGGGCTAGAATTTTACCTACCTGACTCAAAAGTATTTATTTAGGACAGTAAACACAATGTTGGTGTAAAACTCTTGGGCTGTCCTGACATCTCAAAATTCCTAGTTCTCTGTAGG